CTGGCCTATTACCAAAGTGTGCTTTGGAGACCCTAACGATGATTGTCCTTTTGAAGAGTTGATATAATTGGCTGGTCTTGATGCAGCAATCCCAGGGATTGTGTTGATGTGCTCTCGCTCTCCATTTTGGTGATATATCAATGCCATTCTTTCCAAGACAATTATTTAGCAATTAGGGCTCATTTGCAGCAATTCAGAAAGGAAATATTTGTAAGCTGTGCAGCTTGGAAATTCTGGTCCTTTCAATTGGTTACATTGGTTCCAATGAAAAGCCCCATGGATTTCTCACCAGTTGGAGCAAGCACATTAGACAGGAAAATTGCTTGCCACTGCAAAGTCGGAAATTGGGGAAAGCAAACTATGATGGCGAATCTGTTCTCCAACCGAAGCAACTTTTCCAACAAACTTTATTACCCCTGGTTTATCCGGGTATGAACGGTTTAAAACAGAGTCTGCATTTGCCAGTGAAAGAGCAAGTACAAGGCATGGATGTGAAAGACAAAGTAAGTTGTGTGAAAGAGGAGGGGGGAATTGTCAGAGTTGCGAAAGGAAGAGGAAGTGAAAAATTGCTGGATGCAGCTATGATACTCATTCAATTGATGAGATTAGTGGGTTAGCACACATAGCTGATGCTCATGTCCATTCCTGCAACCCATTGTTCAGCTTTGCTGCAGGCCTAGCAAATCAAGCATATTATAAATTCAACAAAGGACACCGATGGCAACCAATCTTGTTCCAAGGAACTGTCATAGGAGACCCATTATCTCCAGCTGTTACTTCATTCTCTCGAGAGGCCCCAACTTTGGCCGAGCCCAGGCATTTTTGGAAACCAGACATTATTGGTCCTTGGAGTGAGCATTCTAGCTGCCTTGGCCATTCCCTTCTTGACAACACCACAATACATAATTCAACATTCAATTCTTGTTCTGGCACTTTCAATGGCATGCCCTCACCTTAGCGGTATTGGCCAGCATTGCTTAAGAGCTTTCATTCCTTATCTGGTCACCCAGCTTGCCATTAATCTGCATATAATGACTACTGCTGATATCTTTAAACATGGAAGGAAGTCCCATTGTGTTGATGAACAAACTCAACCTGCAGATTTTGTTTACCATTGGTCGCAGGCCATTTGTGAATCCAATCAAGGGCAATGACCCAGGGCTAATTATGAACATCCAAAACCAGATGACTAGTATACCTTATTTGTGTGGCTTGGGATACAAGAAGAGGCAAGTCAGATTATAATTTGCACATAGACGAATTAAATGCTCAGAAAAAAAATTAAGCATCCCTGTAAGGTCAACTGAATTATTCCTTTCATTTTCAGTCACTCTAGGAGCTTTCACAGACATTCACAAGGACTGTGACAAAATGTAAGGTGAAGCAAATCAGTTATGCGGCACACAATTGTTCCCCCACCAGGAGTAGCTGTGACTGTCGAAGCCCTATAGGACTCTCTTTTCACAGGTAAACCAGAAGGTAACGTACTCAGTAACCTCAGTCCATGGAAGTAGTTGGCAAAAACAAGCGAATTTCCTCAAGGATATTACTATGGTTCTTCAGCCCTAAAACCAGTTTCTTTGTTTAGGAGTCCATCTTCTGTAAGGTTTCAGTTTGAAAAAAATGCACTGACTACACTATCAGGCAACAAATGGTTTATATTGTAAATATATTTGAAAGTCCATGTTTGCTTAAATCTGATTTAAATCAATTGACATCTCCCGTTATATAATTTCCTTTCCCTGTTATATATTTGAACCTTAATACCTGAAGAATATTTTTCGTTCAAATTAATTTTCTGTGCTTTCACATAACATACAAGGAGCAGATGAGGTTTGTTCTAATAGGTCATTTATAAGAGCAAACAAAACCTAAAACATTAAGCTTCAAAACCCTTCGGGAGAAACTCGAAGGCATACATGTATTCTCCATTCACCCATTTCATCGCCTAAATATTCTCCTCCTTATAATACACGTTAATCGTATTAGTCAAATTCGAAGAAGTACGGAGGACACTGAATTTAAAGGCTTTAAAGAGGAATTCTGCAAACACAATTCAAGTTTTGTTTGGTCAATAGGCCTGGCTAGTGTTCTGTTTTGTTACACGCATTCAGGCAATCAGGTCAAAGAAGCTGAAGATTTAAGGGACTTTTTAATGCGAATGACAAAGTTGGAAGTTCCATGCATAATCCAAAAGAATGAACATCACAAATATTTGTAAATTTCATGAGTGTTGTAACAAAATACTTGATATTGAGGCACAACTGAATAATTATTTACCAATTTGCCATCAACAATTTTGTTCATTTGAAAAAATGGCACTTAAGTATGAACAGAAAATAATGAGACCTAATACAATGAACCCAAATCCATGGGAGAAAGGTTTTCATACTTATAAATAACCCTCTTACTCTTTTACAGATCCTTTCATAAGGCATTAAATCAAATGAGAAAATAGCTAGTCCATCACAAGGACCTTACAAAATCGCTTCCGACCAAAGCCGGGTAAATATTTTGAATCAAAAGATTGACTATACCAGAAAATCGCGTTAGTATTTAGGAAGATATCAAAATGATTCCTCTGACCTTCAAGACATGGTTCAGCTCATTCAACCTTTTAAGGAGGAAAAATGAATTTCCAGCAGCATCTGGCTAAGTTCATTTATTCATATTGCTTCTATCAACATTTTGGCTGAGAAATAGCATCAGCGTGGTACAATGAATCTGACTTCATCAACCCAAACCGGGAGGCCACATCAGGGGTCCTCAATCACTACCGTCACCATTGGCTGCCTTGTTCTCAATATCTGCGAGAAACCAGTGGTGCACCAGGGTCAAACATCATCTGCCTCCACATATTCCTTTTGATATGGTTAGTTCCCTTCCTTCTGCTCTTCCATTGTCCCCTTACCAATGCACAGCAGTGGTGACTCCCTCTTTCAGGTTATTTTGTTCTGACGGGACTAATTAACAGGGAAACCTGGTGGTGGCATCACTATCAGACAAGTTACCATCCGCTGCAACTGAGCCTGCAGTGCCCTTATTGTTAAGCTTCCCATCTGGAACCAGCACAGGGTCCTGAGTAAGAAGATTTAACCACTTCCTTCTTTCAGGCTCCAGCAACTTATTATAAAACAGATTGTACAGTCTCTGTATATTTCATTTTTTATGCCATCGCCTGAACCTAATTATTTTCCCACACACCATCAGAAAGTTTGCTCATCACTTCATTCCTGGTAAAATTACAAATCAAACATTGCTGCCATTGTCAGACAGTCACATAATTTCCAACTGTATTCATTGAAAAATCATTAAGATTAAGTTCATCAGTTTTAAATAGTTGAGTTATCACCAACTTCATTTGTAATTCATTTGGCTTAGGCCTCCATTTTTTATCTAAACCAAAAAAACTTCAAAATTGAAATGACTGAAGGAATGCAGGAGAAATGAAACACTTACCCAACCTCGTCATATTGGCATCAGAAAGTTGCCTTGGCTTCATGTTTTCAGGCCCCAGACGGTTTAGCGCTTGCTGACTTGCCTCACAATGGAAATAATACTACTTGCGCAATTCTTTCCTGTTGTTAATATCTTGTTAGTTCATGACACACGTAATATATATTTAAGGAAACAAAAAAAAATAACAATGTTGACTGAACGAAGCCAATCACCAACAAACCAGCCAATTTCAAGCACACATTTTTGAACTGAATTTCCCATTTGGATGCAATGTGAATTCCCAATTGTTTCAGGTGACTGTGGATATAAAAAGGCTTGTAAGACTATTTTTGTTCTTGTTACAATTTGTTCTAGGTGGGGGCACTGGTTGAGATCAGCGCAGAAATCTAATTGGTGCCACCCCCGTGAGGAGGGGGGGGCGAAAATTGAACTTCAAACCCATAAATTATATATATATATATATATCCCTGGAAGGTTTTCTCCCCAACCACCACCGCCCAAAAAAAAAAAAAAGAAAAAAAAAAGGGTGTATGGTTAAACTTCTAGTTTCTGCCCGTTCCAAGATGGAATGTCTATGATCACAATTTTCATGTACAGCCAGCTCACTTATGGCAGTCATTTTGGACCCATTAAAACAACTGACCATGTCTCCAGAGAAACCTGATTCATGTATCAGAATAGCTTTCTAATATAACTTCTCTTCTCTACTCAAGTGTTTTGGCCCTCTTCACCAAGTTAATGCCAGAAAATGCATACAATAGCTATTTCTGTTTCCCAATTAGTTTGCATAGGAAAAATTTCTAAGTGCTGGAAATCCCGATTTAATGATAAAGGTGTGGTTGCAAGCAGCGCAAAGGAGTTGCGCGAACTGGTTGATTCTCATTTTTGCCTCTATTTATTAATATTTCTTTATTATTTATTATTATATTATTTTCTGGAATTCTTTAGCAAAAGAATTCCAATTTTCTCCTTCTTCTCCTATTAGCTTGTACAAGTCTGTTTTTAACCGATTCATGATTTCCCGACATTCACTGTTAATTGAAAAAGAACTTTAAACTAATAGACATCAAAAAAGGTCCATGGATCAATCACAACAATGGTATCTGTGTGCATTGCTAGAAACTAAAGGCAAACGAATACTTCCGTGTCGAGATAAAGCAAAATGAATTAGTGCAACGAATCTGTGCTAAATTTCAAAGGAAAGGCCATAATAATGAGTATGGCTAACTCTTAATAATCAGCTCATCAAAAGTACTTCCAAATAAAAAGAAAAACCCTAAGAGAGAGATAAGAAAGGTAAGCCAGGACGTACGTTGTTCTTTCAGCTTGCGGTTATCTTGAGGCGAAGATTATCCGAAGTCGCCATCGTCTTTGAGTTTTGCAAATTACTTGGTCCTTCTTACTGTTTTCTTTCTCCTTCTCCTTTTCTGACTCTTGCCTTCCATTGGGTCTTCTCAATATTTCTTCAATCTTCAATGAAGTTTGCAGTGCAGGCCACACTCAAAGATCAGAAAGCAACGTGTTGTAAAATGGGGCGGGTCTTGCGATGTTCTCTTATTCTATTTAAATTGTTTTAAAAAAAAAATTAGACGTAATTGCCGAAAATTAAACTCTTGTCTTTATGCTTTTAATTTTTGCAAAAATTAAATAAATAATTAAGATTTTTTTTTTTTTTTAAAGCAAGAAGATATAATTCTACCTTTTCGAAGACATTTCCTAATATTAAATGTTCTCACTGTTATGACTGGGATTGTTTACCGAACTTTGTTTTTATTTAAGTTTTACTAAAGATTAATAGAATTATACATATAGATTTTAAATTTAAAAAGAGTGTATAGTTACTAAACTAATAAAGTTCAGGTACAAACTAGCCATTTTAAATAAATTTTGCTGTTATACAAAATATTGAAAGCTCAATTCACAAATTTATTTGATTAATTATTTTGTTAAAGATTATTGGTTATATACATTAGTATTATCAAAATCATCGTTTAATTTTCTTTCAAATATATCAGCCAGTACGTAGGCTTATTACTTCCATTTTAATGTCTCAAACAAATAGGGAAAAAGCTTTTTTACTTCACAAAAAAAAAAAAACGGCTCTCAAATAAACCTTCTTTAATGCTACAAATAGCTTAATACAAATAGACATCGATTTCTTAAAAATTTTTCATGCTGCTGAACTGAGCGAGATGAAAATTTAAAGAATCAATCATCCTCAGGTGCAATCTATTTTGAATACTATTCACAATTTATCTCTAATTTAAATCATCTTGAACATATTCAGTTAATTAATTTATGCTCTACCGCTTAAAATCAGTACGTAATTGTTACATCCCAACCAAAATCTTGGGATTTTAATCATCTAATCTAGTTTCAGTTACTATTCTGATTCCTCAACCCTTCCGGTTCAAAGAAGGGAAAAATGGAACTTACAACCATGAAAAAATAGGGCTGTTGCATTTAATTTTTCTGTACAGCTTGGGTTAAACAACCCCTGGTAAAACCTTAGTGCGCATTCGATCACTGAACATGTACTTGCGATAACATAATCGAGTCCCAGTTTTCCCGGATCTAGAAAAGATAAAAGAGATTGCCTGAAAGAAGAACTGGTAAAAAACTCCACTGGATTTGCTATTCACCAGGACCAAAAAAGGGCCAAACAATAGTTCTGTGTGAGCTCATCGAATCCATTATCGGTGAATGATGCGAGTTCTCTTGCGTGACCGGCACTGATCAGTTACCAAAACTTGAGTTTTTCTGAAAAGGTATATTAATTTAAGTCAATAGCTTGCAGGAATGCATTTGGCAGAGATAACTTTTGCAAAACAAACTTTACGAATCATTTCATCATTGGTCTTTACTTCTTGATGGCTCCTGTAGTTGTTCGTGATGATCCAACTTACCTGTCACGAGTCAATATGGCTCAGAATGAGCTACCATATTAATACAAGGGTTTTAGCTGCACAGGAAAAGTCATGAACTTAAAAATCTACTATCTCCCAAAACTCCATTCATAACTTTTGCACTGACAGAAATAAATTCTATATTTTACTTGCAAGAACACAGGAAATCAAACTCCAAAATTCTATCTAGATCTATGGTAATTAAATCTAACAATGAATTCCCTGTTATTCATTAATCTGAAGATCAACTTACAAGCCCATTGTTTGTTACTTTGTTAGGTAGAATCCTCATAAGCATCAAATTGAGAGATTACTGACGCAGTTAACTGGGATAATAGGAAAAGACAGGAGTTAAAAACCAGAAAAAAAAAAAAAAAAAAAAAAAAAAAGACTTTGAAATAAACACCATGATCAACAATAAAAAAAGTTCAACCAAACTAAAACATTCTATGAGCGAATCAATAGAAGAAACATATTAAACCGGCCAACAAAAATATCTTATATCGTTAAATAGACTGCACAGGCAGATTCAACTGTTGACCACTCTGCTATGCACTTCCAGGTACTCTTCATATGTCTGCTAATTAACAAATCAGGAGCAAGCCCATTTAGCATGAGTAGGATGATTTCAAGAGCATAAATACCTCACAAACAATGCAACAGCAAATCCTAGCATAATGAAGCATAAAAAATGACATTTTCAGAGTTCGAATAATAAAAAAACTAAACATTATGCAAAGCCAAGATTTGAACAAAGCATTTGCAAAGTATAAGATTTTGCTGGGGAATGTTGAACCAATTGTTCTCCTTTGAGGCTGGCTAGCCTTTTGGCTTGGTCAACAACCCTGGCAGGCCCACTCATCCCCATCGAGAAAGAAGGGTTTTAGATAAATATGCAATACTTCTTTTTCCTTTTTTTTTTTTTTTTTTTTTTTTTTTTTTTTTTCTTTTTTTTTTTTTAGTGCCATTAATGTTCAGACATTTATTATAACAAAACATGAATGTTTTTGCTGTTTCTGATGGTATAAGACCGTTCACAAAACTAAGCAAGATAAGAGAGGCATGGAATAGCACAATAGAAACAAGGACATATATAGGACAGGATGAACCAACAACAACAATAGGGACTTAGAAGAATGCTAATAGATCAAGGAAGACTTTCAAGACCACATTCATTTCCTAAAATTATTCCAACATATTGCTTCAAAGATTGCCACTTATACACCACAAATTTTTCAGGATTTCAATTTGTATTGAAAAATTTCATTTCATTTCCTAAGAAATGGATTGCCCAATTATAACATTTCTATCATTCCATGTTTTGCAATATTGGAAGGAAAATAATCACACTCAGCAGACAACTAATTCAGGCAATAGAAGGAAAAGCTATTGAGAAACAAAGCAAGCTACGATAGGGATCCCCAATATACCATTTCAAGAAAATCCTCCTCAGTTAGAGTACTAGCTAGAGGATTTCTGCCGACAAGCCCCAAGCATCAATTTTCGAGAATGTTGAATTCACACTGTACTCTCAAAATTCGCAAGGACTTCCATTCAGTTGAGAAGGTTCATCCTTGATGGCTTTTGATGCCACACCAGAAAGCAAGAGGAAATTAACGCCACCTGCTGTGCCAAGTGAAATCTACTTGCTTCAGGCATGATGTTGGAAGAGGAAGGAAGGATAGGCATGGGATGTTCCTAACCCATGGCATATGTAATGGAAAGGGACATTATATTCTCCCATCCCTAGTGAACAGGGAGGCTTCTATTACAAGGCCTTTTCAGAGGAAGGTCATCCCTGGGACAACGCTTACAACACCAAAGCCCATTAGAGAACTAAAACTTATCAACTTATTTGATAAATAGAATTTGCTTTTCGTCTAACAACGAAATTATACCTTTTCTGCAAGCATCAATATTTGACCTCCCCATCAATAGCTCACAAAGAAGCTTCCCCTATATCTTCTGGGCAATTCCTTCAATACATGAATCACAGTCATATTAACAGTTTTCAAGTGCTCGAAGGGTAAAAAAAACCACCCTGCCAAATAAAAGATACCTGGCAGTCTCTACTAATTTTAAACAGTGTAGTCATTCAGTGGTTTCTTGAGATTGAAGAGTCTTTGGAAAGGCAAGTCATTTAACCGCAGCCA